TCAAATACTCACATTTTTGAGTTGCTACACTTTTCATGCTGGTGTGCAAATAGTATCTCATAACGATATTTCCACATATTGCCTGCCTCATGCAGAATTTCAGGTGTTCAAAGTAACTAAATTTATTGAAAACATTGTTTTTTATGTATTGCACACAATATACTGTATATTTTGGTATAGTAAAACTATGTTGTTGGCATTGATTCTTGATTTCATAAAATCTGTGACGTATATTTAGTTTAAATAATAAAACAAAATCATTTGGTTAATTTGTATTTTGGGCAATATTGTTGTAATGGTAGTCAAAAATTTAAATATAACTTAAATACATTATGCTTTTGTTAGAAGTTATTTTATTTTTGTAATACTCCTACTGGACTTCTTTGGCATACTGGTCCTGCAGTATACAAACACTCTTGGTAGCTTCCAAATAAATTTTTGGTGGCCTTGCAACCAACGTAGTATAATGCTTCTACACAATTATTATCCCTTACGTCCCATTTATAAACAAGAATGGTACCTTTATCTCTATCTTCGCAAGGCTCTGTCTCGTGGGGTAAATAACAATCTTTAACAAATACGAAAATATTTTCATTAGATATTGGAACACACCTTTTTAATATGTAATATCATGTGTGTGCTTGCATTATAATATATGTAAAACAGTAGAATTTAGAGTTCAGCTTTTAATCGGTAGTAATTATTGTTGCAAAAATACCAGCAATACCTACATACTTACATATTTTTTATTAAAACTCGACCATGCAAAAATTAAGTTATTAAGTGTTGTCTTGAAAGTTAGTAAAAGTAAGCAAAGTTAGCATATTTTATAAAAAAATTTACTAGAAGTTTTAATGGGAAATCTATGATTTTTTCGATTTTTGCTGTATTAAAAAATCGTAGATACCAGAACATTATTTGCATTTTAGATTATATTTAAATAAAAAAAAAACACGAATCGTGATAAGTATAGTTACACAATCCTATGATAATAAAAACTTTGCGAAGAACAATATAAAGAAAGGTTTCAGCTACAAAAACCAACAGTAGGTAGAATTATGATAAAAGCAAACTTCTTCTTCAAGGGCCCTGTCCGTTGCGAACGTTGGCTATTAACATGGCAATTTTGATCTTGTTTGCGGCGCTTCTGAATAGTTTGACCGATGTGAGCCCGAACCACTTCCGCAGATTTTGGAGCCCCGAGTGTCTTACCATGCCAAGCCCTCACTTACTGTCTATTTTTCTCTGGACAAGCAATTGCAGTAGACAATACTCAATATGTGGCCAAGATATTCAAGCTTCCTTGAATTTTAACTATTATAAAAGCAAACTACTAAATAAAATGTTATGACAAAACATAAGATTGGGATTGTTATTATGTTCAGATATAAGGTCATAAACTATAAGAATTCCAAGATGAATAAGCAATAATACAAAGGTCTGAAGTCTTGTTTCCAAAGAAATGAAGGAAATGTTCTAGTTTTTTGCTGAAAATGACAAAAAATGTTTAGTTAATTTTTAACAACGCTAAAAACGATCAAACTTAAATATTAGAATTTAGTTTTTTGCAGTTATGCAAAATTTATGGTAAACCCAAAATAAATAGATTTAATTTTAAAAGAAGCAAAACCAAAAGTTTTTCTAAATAATAAAAAAATTACCAGCCACTGTGAATGGTCTTTCAATCCTGGCCAGGCTATCTGGAGATGGTAATCTGGCGTTAACAGCGGCCACCAAAAACAATAAGAAAATAAATTTCATACTTAAATATTTGAAGTATAACTGAAATAAAGTTTATACTTTTTGAATAAATAACTATATATAAACCAGGTATATATACCTTTCTCGTTTATAAATTTCATAAATTAAAAAAATTAATTAAGATAAGAATTACGAAAATTAATTATTTAAACAGACACAATGAAAAATGGGATGTGGGAGTGAATAAATTTATGGACAAATCAATTTCACGAAAGATTGATAACATTAATCCATTCTGACTTGGTAAGCAAACTTACCATTCTTTATTTTATTTGTAGTTTATTGCTTTATAAAAAACAGTTTTCTATTCTTATACCGTGTCCCCACACACTAATACACTGATTACTAATCAAAGCATTCTTGTGCTGGGTACATCCGGATTTATATATATTTATATATATATATATATATATATATATATATATATATATATATATATATATATATATATTATATCTTCTTCTTCACATGCCATCTCCTCTAAAAAGGTTGGCAACCATCACGGGAATTCGCACTTTCGATGCTGCCTGCTCTAAAAAGGTCAGTAGAAGTGCAGTTAAACCAAGCTCTCAAATTATCCAACCAGAAGATGCGTCTTCTTCCGCGACTCCTTCCACCCTGTATTCTTCCTTGCATTATTATTTGAAACAAGTTACAATGCTCGCCCCTCATAACATGTCCAAGATATTGCAGTTTTCTGACTTTAACTGTATTTAAGACATCTTTATCTTTTCCCATTCTTCTTAACACCTCGACATTCGTAACTCTATGTACTTAATTCCAATAATTCTAATAAAAAACCTAGAGACTGCTGGAAAATAGTAAATTTCGAAAGAAACTACACCAAATCTAGTTCGGTACAACATGATCTACCTCCAGACGAAATGAATCAATTTTTTAGTACAATTCTTCTCCGAGAAGTTATCCTTCTCCGAGCAAGTCATTTTTTTTTTCGGACGGTTCTGGAAGAAGAGGTATTTCAAATAATAAAGTCGCTTAGTAATTCTAATTGTAGGGACGTTTACGAGATTAATAGCAAAATTTTAAAAGAAACTTACCAAATAGTTTTAACACCTTTTACACATCTAATTATTTTAATTCTATCCACCGGAGTATTTGAAGAAGTACTAAAATACTCAAAAGTACTACCAATCTACAAAAAAGGTGATTCCTCAAAAACTGACAATTACAGACCCATAAGCATTGTTTCTACTTTTTGGGAAAGTAATTGAAAAGGTTATCAAACAACAATTTTATTCCTATTTTGAGTCAAATAATTACTTTAACAACTCAAAATATGGATTTAGAAGTGCTCGTTCTACTACGAACGCGGTATTGAATGTTGTGAGCGAGGTGATTGAGGGGCTTGAACGCGGCAATCGCATAGCAATTTCTCTTTGTGACTTATCAAAGGCTTTTGACTGCGTTTCACACGACATTTTGCTCCACAAATTAAATTACTATGGAATCAGAGGTATCCCTCTTAAGCTTATAACTTCTTATCTATGTGGCAGACACCAGGCGGTAGTATCTAAAGGTCATCTCTCTGTTTTTCTATCCGTAAAACATGGAGTCCCACAAGGTTCGATCTTAGGACCTCTTTTGTTTATTATTTTTGTCAACGATCTGCCTAAATTCATATCTCCGTACAAAACCATGCAATTCGCAGATGATACGACATACGTTATATCAGGAAAAAACAATGATGATTTAAAAATGTCTCATGAGGAAGTTTCTACTAAATCTAGCTCATAGTTTGCTGCAAACAAACTAAAACTTAACTCTGATAAAACGCAAAATATGGTTATATTTGCAAGTAATTTACACAATGATCTAGTTAACAAAGAGACTGTTAAACTATTGGGAATAACCATAGATAATCGACTCAACTAATCTGCTCATATCTCACACCTTAAGAAACAGCTATCAAGTTCATTATTTGTTATTCGCCAACTAGCAAGGGTTGTGAACTTTGAAACATTAAAAATGACATATTTTTCTTTATTTCACTATCACCTAAACTATGCTTTAATTATATGGCGCAATTCAACAAATGCACTTTAAATTTTTAGAATACAAAAGGAAGCTGTCAGGATTTTAGCAGGGGTTAGTTATCTAGAACACTGCCGACCTTTCTTTATCAAATTCAAAATTATGCCTCTACCTACTCTGTTGATATTTCAAGTTTTAACTCAAATTAACAGAAAGTTTTAAAGTATCAAAACTTTAGGCTTCTGAGCTATGGTTACACAAAAGGATCCTAAAAATACCATGATAATGTCAACAATGGAGAAGTACTACATAGGTTAAACACAACCGCGGATTTGGTCAACATCGTGAAGAGCCGTAATCTGCAGTAAGTGGGAAATTTAGTGAGAAATAAAGGCAGACATGAGCTACTTTAATACATTTTCCAAGATAAAAATGAAGAAAAACCTGCCCCAGGATAAACAAGACTATCCTGGCTTCTTGCTAACCTAAAAGCAAGGTGTAGAGAAACACAACTATTCCGTATAGCAACCAGGAAAGTCATCATAGCCAAAATGATCGCCAACGTTCCGAACAGACAGGCACCCTAAGAAAAATAAGTAAACTTTACATTCTTCGAATAGCTCAAAACGATAGAAAGCGATATTGTTGAATCCTGTATTGTTCATCGTCACCACCATTGGTGGCACCTCTTGTAGCTTTCAAGACTTGTGCAAAACAAGCAGTAACATTCACCTACCCCGACCGTCTGTATATAAATTTGTATCTTTCGCGAATCTCTGATGAGGGAGGCAATATGTAGAAATAACGTTACAAGATCCTAATGATACCGATTCATACACAGAATGTTTAACGAATTGTACTGTTACGTCATATAGATGGCCAATATATACGGCGTAACTGAACAACTCATAAAAAATTCTGTGTATGAATCAGATGCATAGGATAGTATCTCATAACGATATTTCCGCATATTGCCTGCCTCATGCAGTATTTCAGGTGTTCAAAGTAACTAAATTTAGTGAAAAAATTGTTTTTTTATGAATTGCACACAATATACTCTATATTTTGTTATGGTAAAACCATGTTGTTGGCATTGACTCTTGGTTTCATAAAATTTGTGACGTATATTTAGTTTAAATAATAAAACAAAATCATTTGGTTAATTTGTATTTTGGGCAATATTGTTGTAATGGTAGTCAAAAATTTAAATATAACTTAAATACATTATGCTTTTGTTAGAAGTTATTTTATTTTTGTAATACTCCTACTGGACTTCTTTGGCATACTGGTCCTGCAGTATACAAACACTCTTGGTAGCTTCCAAATAAATTTTTGGTGGCCTTGCAACCAACGTAGTATAATGCTTGTACACAATTATTATCCCTTACGTCCCATTTATAAACAAGAATGGTACCTTTATCTTTATCTTCGCAAGGCTCTGTCTCGTGGGGTAAATAACAATCTTTAACAAATACGAAAATATTTTCATTAGATATTAGAACACACCTTTTTAATATGTAATATCATGTGTGTGCTTGCATTATAATATATGTAAAACAGTAGAATTTAGAGTTCAGCTTTTAATCGGTAGTAATTATTGTTGCAAAAATACCAGCAATACCTACATACTTACATATTTTTTATTAAAACTCGAACATGCAAAAATTAAGTTATTAAGTGTTGTCTTAAAAGTTAGTAAAAGTAAGCAAAGTTAGCATATTTTATAAAAAAATTTACTAGAAGTTTTAATGGGAAATCTATGATTTTTTCGATTTTTGCTGTAATAAAAATTCGTAGATACCAGAACATTATTTGCATTTTAGATTATATTTAAATAAAAAAAAACACGAATCGTGATAAGTATAGTTACACAATCCTATGATAATAAAAACTTTGCGAAGAACAATATAAAGAAAGGTTTCAGCTACAAAAACCAACAGTAGGTAGAATTATGATAAAAGCAAACTTCTTCTTCAAGGGCAATGTCCGTTGCGAACGTTGGCTATTAACATGGCAATTTTGATCTTGTTTGCGGCGCTTCTGAATAGTTTGACCGATGTGAGCCCGAACCACTTCCGCACATTTTGGAGCCCCGAGTGTCTTATCATGCCAAGCCCTCACTAACTGTCTATTTTTCTCTGGACAAGCAATTGCAGTAGACAATACTCAATATGTGGCTAAGATATTCAAGCTTCCTTGAATTTAAACTATTATAAAAGCAAACTACTAAATAAAATGTTATGACAAAACATGAGATTGGGATTGTTACTATGTTCAGACATAAGGTCATAAACTATAAAAATTCCAAGATGAATATGAAATAATACAAAGGTCTGAAGTCTTGTTTCCAAAGAAATGAACGAAATGTTCTAGTTTTTTGCTGAAAATGACAAGAAATGTTTAGTTAATTTTCAACAATGCTAAAAACGATTAAACTTAAATAATTAGAATTTAGTTTTTTGCAGTTATGCAAAATTTATGGTAAACCCAAAATAAATAGTTTTAATTTTAAAAGAAGCAAAACCAAAAGTTTAATAAAATAATAATAAAATATAAATAAAAATAATAATAAAAAAATTACCAGCCACTGTGAATGGTCTTTCAATCCTGGCCAGGCTATCTGGAGATGGTAATCTGGCGTTAACAGCGGCCACCAAAAACAATAAGAAAATAAATTTCATACTTAAATATTTGAAGTATAACTGAAATAAAGTTTATACTTTTTGAATAAATAACTATATATAAACCAGGTATATATACCTTTCTCGTTTATAAATTTCACAAATTAAAAAAATTAATTAAGATAAGAATTACGAAAATTAATTATTTAAACAGACACAATGAAAAATGGGATGTGGGAGTGAATAAATTTATGGACAAATCAATTTCACGAAAGATTGATAACATTAATCCATTCTGACTTGGTAAGCAAACTTACCATTCTTTATTTTATTTGTAGTTTATTGCTTTATAAAAACAGTTTTCTATTCTTATACCGTGTCCCCACACACTAATACACTGATTACTAATCAAAGCATTCTTGTGCTGGGTACATCCGGATTTATATATATTTATATATATATATATATATATATATATATATATATATATATATATATATATTATATCTTCTTCTTCACATGCCATCTCCTCTAAAAAGGTTGGCAACCATCACGGGAATTCGCACTTTCGATGCTGCTGCTCTAAAAAGGTCAGTAGAAGTGCAGTTAAACCAAGCTCTCAAATTATCCAACCAGAAGATGCGTCTTCTTCCGCGACTCCTTCCACCCTGTATTCTTCCTTGCATTATTATTTGAAACAAGTTACAATGCTCGCCCCTCATAACATGTCCAAGATATTGCAGTTTTCTGACTTTAACTGTATTTAAGACATCTTTATCTTTTCCCATTCTTCTTAACACCTCGACATTCGTAACTCTATGTACTTAATTCCAATAATTCTAATAAAAAACCTAGAGACTGCTGGAAAATAGTAAATTTCGAAAGAAACTACACCAAATCTAGTTCGGTACAACATGATCTACCTCCAGACGAAATGAATCAATTTTTTAGTACAATTCTTCTCCGAGAAGTTATCCTTCTCCGAGCAAGTCATTTTTTTTTTCGGACGGTTCTGGAAGAAGAGGTATTTCAAATAATAAAGTCGCTTAGTAATTCTAATTGTAGGGACGTTTACGAGATTAATAGCAAAATTTTAAAAGAAACTTACCAAATAGTTTTAACACCTTTTACACATCTAATTATTTTAATTCTATCCACCGGAGTATTTGAAGAAGTACTAAAATACTCAAAAGTACTACCAATCTACAAAAAAGGTGATTCCTCAAAAACTGACAATTACAGACCCATAAGCATTGTTTCTACTTTTGGGAAAGTAATTGAAAAGGTTATCAAACAACAATTTTATTCCTATTTTGAGTCAAATAATTACTTTAACAACTCAACATATGGATTTAGAAGTGCTCGTTCTACTACGAACGCGGTATTGAATGTTGTGAGCGAGGTGATTGAGGGGCTTGAACGCGGCAATCGCATAGCAATTTCTCTTTGTGACTTATCAAAGGCTTTTGACTGCGTTTCACACGACATTTTGCTCCACAAATTAAATTACTATGGAATCAGAGGTATCCCTCTTAAGCTTATAACTTCTTATCTATGTGGCAGACACCAGGCGGTAGTATCTAAAGGTCATCTCTCTGTTTTTCTATCCGTAAAACATGGAGTCCCACAAGGTTCGATCTTAGGACCTCTTTTGTTTATTATTTTTGTCAACGATCTGCCTAAATTCATATCTCCGTTCAAAACCATACAATTCGCAGATGATACGACATACGTTATATCAGGAAAAAACAATGACGATTTAAAAATGTCTCATGAGGAAGTTTCTACCAAATCTAGCTCATGGTTTGCTGCAAACAAACTAAAACTTAACTCTGATAAAACGCAAAATATGGTTATATTTGCAAGTAATTTACACAATGATCTAGTTAACAAAGAGACTGTTAAACTATTGGGAATAACCATAGATAATCGACTCAACTGGTCTGCTCATATCTCACACCTTAAGAAACAGCTATCAAGTTCATTATTTGTTATTCGCCAACTAGCAAGAGTTGTGAACTTTGAAACATTAAAAATGGCATATTTTTCTTAATTCCATTCTCACCTGAACTATGGTTTAATTATATGGGACAATTCAACAAATGCACTTCAAATTTTTAGAATACAGAAGAAAACTGTCAGGATTTTAGCAGGGGTTAGTTATCTAGAACACTGCCGACCTTTCTTTATCAAATTCAAAATTATGCCTCTACCTACTCTGTTGATATTTCAAGTTTTAACTCAAATTTACAGAAAACGTGCCCATTTAATAAAGCAGTCTGATGTCCATCTTCACAATACGCGAAACTGTCACTACCTACGAACAAATCGCTGTAGATTAAGTCTTTCAGAAAAAAATAGTCTTAATTATAACTATTACAATATTTTACCAAAAAGTATAAAAGAGCTAATCTGTAATAGTTTCGATAAAATTAAAAAATCTTTTAAAACATTGTTTTTACTGCTCAGAAGAATATATGACTCATTGCAGAACATCCACTGAACTGCTTACCGTAACTTTGCCATAAATATTTTTCTGTTTAATATATTTTTATGTTTGTATTATTTAATATTTTATTATTTACTACTATGTATGTTTTTTTTGACTTGCTACAAACAATATTTGTATATGCTATGTAGTTAAATAAATACTCTACTCTACTTAACTTATTTTTGATATCCTTCTGTAGGCCCATAACTCAAACGCTTCCAATCTGTCCGAAACATCTTTCTTTAAAGTCCAAGCCTGCAACCCATAAAATAATACGGAGAACACATAGCATCTCAGAAGTCTTATCTTTAAAGAAATTGAAATGTCCCTGCTGCAGAGTACTTTTTTCAGTTTGTTGAAAGAATTTCTTGCCTGTCCTATTCTTGCCTTAATCTCCTTTGTGTACTCATTCATCATCATCAGTGGTGCTACAGCTCTAGTTGAGCCTTGACCTTCCCCAGTCTATTTCGCCAGTCGTTTCTGTTCATCGCCAACCGGTGCCAATTTGCCGCGCCGATTTTCCTTGCGTCCTCGTCCACACCGTCCCTCCATCTCAGTCGCGGTCTGCCTCTACTCCTATTTCCCACTGGGACCGATAATAGAGTTCGTCTGGGTGGGTAATTTTCATTTGCTCTTGATACATGTCCAGCCCATCTAAGCCTACCTCTTTTTATGGAGGATATTACATCTCTACCATTTACTATTTTTTTATACTTCTCGTACAATTCGAATATATATATATTTCACAGGGATTTCATTTGATATCGACCTGAGAGGCCCTGTGGTCTATATGTGATTTGCCTCCCCTCCCGGATCTTGGCCTCCGATATTCATGATCAGTAACAGAGTTACTTTTTTGTACAGCCATGACAATTGTACTAGGGATATATGTGTAGAATATTTATTGTAAATGTAATGTATATTATATAGATATATGTAATTGCGATTGTGTTTTCAAACATTCAAGTGATAACGATAAATTTGCTGTTTATTAACAATCCAATTATTATAATTCATATATTTAACACTACCACAAAGTTCTTCTTCTTCAAGTGCCATCTTCGTTCCGAAGGTTGGCGATCATCAGGGCTATACGTATTTTCGAAACTGCTGACCGAAACAATTCGTTGTTGCTACAACCACAAAGTTAATTATGCCTAAAACGTCGTTTTGTGCTAATTGTTCAAATTTAACTTCTATCTCTTGTACGATGGGAAAAACCTACCGGTTTTAACCGAAAACCGGTTTTTTTTACTTTGCCATAACCGGTTTTAATGATGATTAGGATTAGGTTAGGTATTATTTTGGATCCCAATCATAATTATTATTTTCAAATAATTATTCAAAACAAAACCATAATTCAAAATTTATTTTATTTTATAAATACAGAATTAAAGTGAAAGTGCAAATTCACATTAGTCAGCAACAATTAAGTTATATTATAATATTTCGTTGAAAAGGTATTTTTAATCATAATATTTACAGTCAAATTTAATTTAGGCTCGGAAGTTAGGACGACCTTACCGAAATCGGAAAACTTTCTCCTTCCTGTTCTTTCCAGAATAAAGAAGCAAAAGTAAGTTTAAAATCAAACCTTCTTTGGTCTTCACACGATCTGGATTTGGTTAACAGTGGTTCCAGTTCAAGTTCTCAGGACACATGGATTCAAAGTTCTTTTCCAAATGAACTGACTCTGCATCTGCAGCAGCCTTTGCTGCCAGGATTAAGTAATCTGTTTATATTCTGGGAGCAGGACAGAATCTGTATACCAGGCATGGATTTTATAGCTGTCGTTGGTCGAAAGTTCGGTGGAATGAGAGAGCCTAGTGTCATCATTGAATGATATTGTGTCAAATGAGACCAGCCGCTTAACCGACCAACATATATATCAACCAGTTTTTCTTAATAGGCTTCATGAAAAATACTGGACTGGAAGACAGCATTGTCAATGAAACCGCTAGCCGCATATCTCGTTCCAAAATAATTTTGGTTAGAGGCTTCGCTGAACCTACAAGAGACGCACAAAATAAAAAAGATCATAATAATAATAAAATACATTTATTATCCCTAAAAGTCACGGGATGTTAAGAAGCTCCTGTTACATTTTATAAAGTCGGTAAAAGTGATAATGAGTACTGAACACCACACTCGAAAAATTCTTCATAACAAAAATAAACTTTTTAAAAACAAATCTACCGAAACTTATTCTATTATTGATCACAAGCCACCTATGCAGAAACTTCGTTTTAAAGAACTTCGTACTAAGCTTAAAACTCGTATAAATAATGAAGAAAATGACCTTTAAATTAAATATGTGAATGGCTGTTCAAAGATAATGAAATTTCGTTCATAATTCTTCTGCATCAAAATTTACGGATTGGCTTCTTATGTATACAAATCTAAACTCTCTCATGTCCAAATTTAATGACTTAATAAGTACTGTTCAACTTTTAAAACCTTATAATATTCTTCTAACAGAAACATGAAAAAGGATAGAGAGGAGTATGCATCTATTTAGCAAATAAAATTACCAACATTTGTTTATCAGTAATAAAACAATAGACGTATC